TTGTTCAGCCATCATTTTACAATTGACCAATCTGTATCAAAAAGGAAGATTATTAGGCAGAAATAAATCTCTCTTGAAGTCTGTGCACATATCCCTTATCTCCTGAGGTATCACAATCCCCTTCATTCCTTAGTGAGTTGGTAGATGTACCACATAAATTACAATTAAAAAAACCTCCATCAAATCTAGACAACTTTCAGAAACATTCTATGGACTGACTTTTCCGAAGTTACGCATTCATGATATTTGCTTTCTGGCAGAGAGAGTACAAAGATTTTATCCCATAAAAATAGACACAATTGCTGAGTTAGAGTAAGACTAAGTACTAACCTAGGAGTATCACTGATGATGTTATGCATCTGCTGAGGCATTAAGCCATTTGGACAGATGAAGCCCCGCATGGTTTCCTAAAGACCCATTTGAATGAGCTAAGATAATGCAGGTTTCCAGGACAGAGAGCTTTCAGATGGAATCATTCAACATCTCAAAACTTGTCTCAAATCTTGTTGTTCAAATTAGTTATGGATAAGACATATTACATGGTTATCCATAACTAATTTAAACAATAAGATCAAAGATATGGTCTGGTCACTATTAAAATTGCTAAAGAATCAAAGGCTGATCAGCTGAAGGAGGAGATTATTTGGTATAAACTATCCTTCAATACAAGGTCCAGACTAAGACTTTTGCAATCCCTTTAGCTGGTATTGTTCACCTGAAGTGCTGAAATTATCTTTTCTTTTTTTTTTTTTTTATAAAGATGCACCTAACTGGTTGTATCCTTATCGATTACACTTTAATTAAATGGAAACAATCTTTAAGTCTTTGTGGTTTTTTTTTTTGCAGGATGCTCTGTCTTAAAGAACTATTAGACATGACAACAGTTGTTCACTATTATAATTATGGATAAAATTAAAACTCTATCTAAAAGTATAGCCATTGCATTGTTCAGATGATAGGTCAATATTACTGAACTGATCTTGTCCTTGCCAAACAGCTGTATTAAAACTGAGCAATCTTTTGTCCTTTCTGTATTATCTCTTACCTGTTTGAAAATGCACTTTTTTAAAAGAGAAAACCTTTAAAAAATGCATTAGACATTTCAGATATTCATGATAAGATCTACACAAAGTCAGTGGAGAACCCATTCCATTCTATTTGCTGTGGGACTTGCACTGCAATACTTGAAAGTGAACTAAATATTTTCTTTAGATTTACAAATACAGACTTCTTCACATGACTGCTAGAGAAATAGCAAATTATTTTCATGGGATACCTGTACGGAAAAGAGAATGTTCTTATACTTGTAGAAGGCTGAGTGCTAGCTCACACAAAAATGGATCTTCAAGAAGAACATAAGGGTAGTATTCACTTTCTGTACTGATTTCAAGTCACTGGATCTCTCTTACAAAGAAGGCTGAGAGAGCTCGGTCTGTTCAGCCTTGAGAAGAGACAACTGAGAGGGGACATCAACAATGCCTATAAATATCTCAAGAGAGGGTGTCAAGAGGAGGCAGTCCGGCTGTTCTTAGTAGTGCCAGGCAAGAGGACAAAAGGCAGTGAGTAGAAAGTGGTGCACAGGAAGTTCCACCTGAACATGAGGAAGAGCTTATTTACTGTGTGGGTGGCTGAGCACTACAACAGATTGCCCAGAGAGGTTGTGGAGTCTCCCTCACTCAAAATATTCCAGAACCATCTGGACAGAATCATGCGCAATGTGGTCTAGGATGACCCTGCTTAAGCAGGGAGGTTGGACCAGATTATCCACTTTGGTCCCTTTCAACCTGACCCATCCTGTGATTCTGTGATAACTAAAAGTGCAGGCTCCAGATTTTGTTGATATATTTTATAATTTCATTTTCACTGACTTCAGTAAAAAGGCTTACAAACTAAAAGAGCTACGGAATCTTATTTTTGAGCACAGTATTATCAATTCACAGATGAAAGACATTTGCTGTTTACTGAAAACAAAGAGTGTAACCAACTGAAAATAAGCTTACTTGTTTAGTCAACTTACAAAAAAATCTTGTAAGTTTGTTGTCCTTTCAAAGTTGAAATGAGGACAAGATTAAGAAGAGAACAGGTTTCAAAAGTAATTGTAGTCCAGGGACATGTTGTACATTAGCATTCTTCTCAGCATCACTTTAAGCTCTCATTTTGGGTGCTATCCAGTTTTCTGTCAGTGACTTCCCTGCTTAGAAGGAGGTCCATCCATCTTCCTCATGGGAAGATGAAATCCCGGCAGAGTCAGCAATTTTTCCTTTTTAAATTAAGATAATAAGCACTGCTTTTTACCCCACCAAAATATTTTAAAAGTACAGACTGAATATTGTGATGCATAGAGATTATACCTAAAATGTATATAAAAACATTTTCAGCATCTGTTCCCAGGTATTTGCGTGATATTTGTGTACATGTTTGCCCTCATCTTTATGAAGAATTCTGCAAATTGGACAAAGACGATTAAAGCAGGCATGGTTGTCTTTACTCACTCATGGTTCTGTTTTCCTCTGAAGAGTAAATGAAAGTTTATTGTACTATTGACTAAAATGCTTTCATTAAGTATATTTGTGCTGTGATCTTCTTGTTCTACAGAATTTCGTGCCAATACCTGGAGAGATGCACAGTTAAATGTATTTAATGTATGGTTGGAGGCTGGGAGTTGGGAGGAGAAGGGAAGCAGTGGCTGCATCACAGGATTTGCAGAAAAGGCATTTTGCCTTATTTGGTAAGTCATAGATACATATCAACAAATGTTGCTTAAAATAATTCAGAGATGGAAATTTACCTATATTCCATGGCATAATCTGGCTCCATTTTAGAGAGCCAAGGAAAAGGTCAAAGGACAGATCTAAAAAATCTGGGACGAAGACTCAATTAAAACATTAGCACAGCAAGTCGCTGATTCCACTGTTATGAATGTACTTCATCCTATTCTTTAAGACTATGCAACATCAAAGACACATTTGCAGGTACAGTCTTGGAGAGCCAGTAACTTAAGACACCACAATAATGTCACTTGGTATGTAGGGGGAGGTTAAAAGGAGGATTAAAAGCAGTCAGGCACAATATATTAAAGGAACCCATGACTAATGGGGTGTGACAGCAAAGGGTTTCATTCTTTTTAACAGAATAGATCCCTAGGGCTGGAAGTATTAGTCTACTGTGCCTTTAACACCTTGGAATTTTTATGGTTATTTTTGATGAATTCACATTTTCGTAAATACCTTTTTGACATTAAACCAATTTTCACATTTAATTAAATCCATACATAACCTTAATTCTGCACTGAGAGGTTTGTTGTTCTTATTTTTTATTATTATTACCACCAGGAAATATTTCAAATACCAAAGCATAATGTTAGTTAGTAATTATAACCTCTCAAAGGTCCAGAAACTAGCTAGGTTGTACCTTGTTAACATTATGCAAACTTTATCTGTGCTTTAAGTATCTTGCTTGACAGATGTCACAATTTTTCTTTTCTTTTTGTGGAGGTTTGGCTTATTTCCCCTTCCATATTAGCTCAGGTCATCAATAAGCATAAACAAATCCTTATCAAAGAGGGATGAAAAAATGGGGGATAAGTCTAGAATGTGCCCACAGAGAGTCAAGTGAGGAGTAAAAAGGTTTAAGTTTAAACTGTCTGGCACAAAGAGGGAATGAAAACTGAGCAAAATCAAATAGCGAATGAAATGCAGGAAGGAAAATCTGACACAGGAGTGAAATACAGCAAAATGAGAGAGGGGATAACACATTATTTTGCCATCAATGACAGTAACGATACAGTGGAGTTAAATACCTGAATTCAGGTCCATTACGCCAGTTTTAGTTGAGGCATCACACAAATTTCTCAGAATGAATTGAACTGATTAGCATTTAATTTACAAGCTTGTAAAAGATGGTGTCTGGGTGGCTGAGTTGCCCTCTGGGACAGGCAGAACAAGGCTTGCAAATCTCCTTTGGCAGACCAGCCTCCGGGCAGCGTGCACAGGAACAAGGGAGCCAAAGAACTACTCATTAAGGTGAAAATGAACGCTTATTTACTTCATCTCTGATGCAGGTGTGGGCATTCATAAGTTTAAAGGAAATTTCTCATGAATACTACAGGTCAGCTCCTCAGAGATTGACATGTTGCTTCAACAAACCATTGAATCAAAACTTACTCTTCCTATTTGCATACTGCAGCTTTAAATACTGCCACTCAGTGCTTCCTGTGCTGCATGAAGCACTTTTCTGGCTACTTGCTATGAATGGCTGTACAATTAATTCTAAAACTTCTAAATTATAACTTGTTCAACATAGTGTTGACATTTCAAAGGTCCCTAAATCAGTTCATGCATGTTGCCCTTTTATCAGGACCAGGTTCCTTTAAACTAAAAGCTTAGACTTTTATGTTTAATGATCTAAACAATCCAATGAAATAGTGCCAGTGATTAATTGGAGCTATAATGAAAAATGCTAAAAAAAAAAAATAATTCCCTTAGGTCACAACTTAGCTTTTCAGAGATATACTTAAACATATAAAACAGTTCTTGATTCATGGACTTGATATCCACAGGGAACTGATATTGTGAAATAGCTTGGTATTGCAAGTGTCTGGGATATGAAAATAAAATTTAGAGTTTAATCTCACGTACTGCCTCAAAATCCATCCTTCCATCTGAGACTGGTCAGTATTTTTTAATACTGTATATTTACCAAGTGACAGAATTTAAAACTGAAAATTTCTGTTTGCAAAGATTACTTTTATTTGCCTTGTTATGCATGGCTAGTGATTAACCATCACATCAGAAAACATAAAGCATTAGAACAGGTAGACTCACTAAGTCAAAGATGAAATCAGCTATATACAAACTGAATCTACTATTTCCTATTAACATTTTTCCTAATGAACAGTCTGAAATCAGCACAAGTACTTGAAGATGCATTGAAACATCTAATATTATAACAATGACTTCTCCACGTAAGCTTTACACCAGTCAAGACAGTAGGAAATTTACCTTTTTCCTGACTTGTTGATCTTTAGAAGAATGGGCTTTCACATGCTTTCTCAGGGAACTTGGATCGGTGTATCGCTTAGTACATCCTGGAATCTGACACGCATAAGGTTTCTAAGTCGAAAAGAAAAAGGACAAAGCTGCTGTTAAATCACAGATTATTTTAACACAAGAGAATCCCTTTTGCGCCTTGGGATGCTGCAAACCACATTACTACAGAACACAAACGTACACTATTACAAGCAGAATGCTTAGTAATTTGTTAGAAAGGGAAAGCATGAAATTAAGGCTTTTAAGGCAGACAAACCAAAGGAAAGCTTTCCTTATGGCACCTTTCATTGTTACCTTTTTTTTTTTTTGTAATTAGTACAATGAATATTGCTAGATATACTCACAATTCTTTCACCCTCAGAGCAATCTTTGACTTAATCAGAAACTACAGTCTTTAGTGAACCAGGAAAAGAAACTGAAGTAAATGCCCAGAAAGACTTTTTAGGATTACAGAAGGATCTGCTTTAGAAAAAGAGAACAAGAAAAAGTGTTAGTTTACTATATTAGAAAGAAAGCAAGCAAAAACCAAACCAAGCATTGAATACCGTAGTTTCAAAAGTATTACATAACAAAAATACACATTCTTATGGGAAGTACAAGACCAACTCCTTCAGCTCACATTTTCTAATATGTCACCTTAGAAAATCAGGTCCAACTGTTTCCTGAAATTAGCTATTTTGCAATTTAGTAATTTATGTTTCACAAAGCATTTCCAAAAACACTTTGTACAAATGATTAACTTGCCAGCCATAGTATTGACTATTCAAAATGGATAATTTATTTTTTAACAGGCATTTAAGGGCATTCAAATGGCACTGTTGTAATTTTACTTCTGGACTCCTGCCCCCGGGAAAAGGCTCTTCTCTGACAAAACATGTTATGAAACAAAAGTTATTAAACAAATCTCAGCTGTGACTCAAATTTACAAGCAACAGTTTGTTGGTATAAAAATTTTTAGATTTGCAAAATTATTCTTCCTCTCTTGACTTTCTGGTACATGCACCAGCCTTAGCTTTTTGTCAAAGAAGAGCAGTTATTATCGCAGATTGTTTCAGTTTCCCTAAAGATCAGCTAAGTGGGAGAAAGTTACTGCCTCTACCTGCAGCAAAGACCACAGACCTGTAGCTTTTTTATCAACTAGCTTGACCCATCTTCTTCCACACTTACATTACTGGATCACTTCTGAAACAGCTTCAACAGCCTCATTAGACACTCCACCCTCCTGTCTCTAAGGTTATGGGCTACCCGCTCTCACCAAGCTCTAGGAAAGGACCACATGGTCTAATGTACGGGGGACTGCAAGGGGAATGCTGTATCCTTACAGTCTCCAAGTGTGTCCTTTGGTGTTTGGCGCGGTCACTGGAGTTGCTGAATGCTTTCTGGCAGCCAGGGTGTTGGCAGAGGTACGGCTTTTCACCTGTATGGCTCCTTAAGTGAATCTTGAGATTTTCTAGTCTGGAAAAGGCTTTCTTGCAACCCTTAAACTAGAAAAGAAAAAGAAATTATTTCAACGGAAGGCACACACAGCAAACACCAAACAGGAGTGTGAAAGGACATGCAGAGACCTCCAGCCTGCTACAGCTGGGTACCTCTCCAGAGCTGAGGAAAGCCTGGTTTCTCAGAGTGGCTGTTGTAGCAGTGTTCAAACCACTTCAAGATTGTAAGAATGTATGTATCCTCCCTGCACATGGTTGAATTAGGGAAGCATGTCCTACATTTTACAGATGGGATATTGAGACCCAAAGAGACCAGTCAGCTGAGAGCACAGCTCCTATCTGGGAAACACAGAGCCAGCTGATTCTCCTTCTCATAGCTCACAGAAAGCAAAGGAGCCATCATGAGGTTCCCAAGTCCTCTTCTAACTACCCTTATCTTAGCTCTGGGCTTCTTTAGATACTAGCAACTAAGCCAAAAGAGGCATCTCTTTGTACCAACCCCACCTTTGCAACAGCAAAGACACACTACACACAGAGATTTCACAGATTATTCTGAGTTGGAAGGGCCCAACACAGATTATCAAGTCCAACTCTTAAGTGAATGGTCCATAGGGGAATGAAACCCACAACCCTGGTGTTATTAGCACCATACTCTGACCACCTGAGCTAATCTCAGGGTCAGATGCAGAAAAATGTCAGTCTGCTCTGCCTTGCTAATGATGATGTAAAAAGTAAAATGATTTCGGAAATATGTCTTTACCTTTCTGCCATGAGTAAATGTATGAGGTACTAAAAATAATGTAAGCCCGTCAAAATAGGATATAAACCTTATGGGTAACCAATAACCACATGGCACAGTACTTCTGTACCTAATCAAGTACTGCATCTGTAGAGAAATCTAAGTTTATATGAACAGAAAACCAGTTCTTCATCTATCATGTTCCCATAGTATATTTTATCCTAAGGGAAACTGAAAAACATCATTTAACACCAGCATTTTTATATACACTTGATTTCAATTATACTTAAATATTTATGAATATCAGAGGTATAGGCTTCCTAAAATTCTATCAGTCAGGATCAGTTAATCTTATGAGTTTCAGCTGCTGCATATTCTACTGTGAAGCATCTAGAGCATCTGCTGCATGACATGATAGATTGAGGTTCTTGTATACTTGCAAAAACAATAATGCAGTACAGAGATGTCAAAATTTCTAAAGCTAAGAAATTGTCAATTTCCATCATTTCACTACACATTAACTTCATTCACTGAAAAGAAACAGACTGTTTTGATGTCAGAATAACACAAACAAATTTATATTATAAATTTATAATATATTATTCAGTGTGTAGGTTTACAAAAGCAGAGGTAGGAAAACACTGACATAATTGATCATAAGTAGCATGGCTTTCTTACAAATCTGTAACATACTTTAAAAAAGGGAAAAAAGGATATAAAATTTTTATCCTTTAATTTTAAGCACATCTGCATTTTGATCAATGCAAGACAGAGTTACAAGTTTAAAGAATAAAGTATAAATCACATTACCTATAAAATAGCAATATTAAAATTGAGCTTAAGTAATTAAAGCTTGAGAAACAGGATCAACCACCCCTGCTCTACCATAATTGCAAATTATCTTTCCCACACATCCATTTCAGAAAATGCATCAACCTATGAAGCTTTTTATTTATATTCCATCCCTATATCCAAAGCAAACCTACCATGCTTTTCAGGTTATCCAATTTTGATGACTGAACATTAATTTATGCTTGTACAAACGGTGTGAAGCTTTAGCATGCATACATAAAATTACTGCAAGTGTAAAAATATCTTTAATTTTAGTGATATATTATTAGAAAATGTTACAGGATAAATAAAATAAAAAAGACAGATATCTCTTACAATTGCCTGGATAAAAATACCACATTTCTCTAGGAAAAAGTAAAGAGTTGATGGAGAAAGCATAAAAGCATGAGAGCTAAAAATTGATATTACAAATGAATCATAAGATCATGGAATCATAGAATGGTTTGGGTCAGAAGGGACCTTAAATACAATCTATTTTCAATTCCCCTGCCATGGACAGGGATACCTTCTACTAGTCTAGGTTGCTCAGAGCCCCATCTAGCATCTCCTTGAACGCTTCCAGACACAGCTGTGGGGAAGCCACAACTCCTCTGGGCAACCTGCTCCAATGCCTCACTACTCTCACAATAAAGAATTTCTTCCTAATTTCTAATCTAAATGTACTCTTTCAGTTTTAAACCTTCAAAAAGCAAAATAATTCAAGACCACTTATGTTAAAATTAGAAAGAAACCTACTGATTAGCCTATCTTATGGAGACAAGTTATTATTTTGTAATAACTTCATAAAAGAACAACCTTCCATTCTAATGACTATAACTATGCTGTATATAAGTATGAGATAAATTGTAGGATCTCAAGCAACCATGAATTTCAATTTCAGACCAATGAAAATGATTTGTTTATTTCACAGGTTATTAAACTCCAAATCTTCAAGTACGCAAACAAACTTAAACAGGTGTAAATGATTGTTTATGAGATGGTAAAATTAGTATTGATTTTAAAAGGGTAAAAACGTTTAACTAAGCAGAACTGGGGAATGTTACAAATTTAAGAATTGTTATTTCTAAACACTCCTACATTGCTGGGCACAACCTGGAAGGAGAAAAGATACTCTGAAGTTCTCTCTTCTCTCCACAGCCCTTAACTAATGTGTAGCATATTCACAAGGCTATATATAGTTGTGTACTGTTGAAAAAGTCATTGTAGCTAAACACAGACACTGTAAGCCTGTAATTTTTAGAAAGACCATCTTTACTCAACAGTTAACAAATGTTTACTCTATAAACTAAATTTCTTGAGGCCTTGGGAATCTCCAACGCTTAAGATAAAAGGAATGAAAAGATACTCTTTTCAACAACACAGAATATACATTCTATCCCAATAAAAAGATTTCAATGAAAGTATTCCAGACAAGACACAACTGCTTAAGGGGGAAAAAGGTCAGGTAGTTGGTAGTTGTATTTTGAAATGAAATTCATCACAGTTTTCTAAGTTATTAACTGCTGTTGAAGAGGAGGATGTAACACCTTTATTACAGCTAGTCACTTAAGTATATGGTATACATTTAGCATTCTGAATCTGTTTAACACTCCTAAATATATCCCAGATTAAAACAGATTTTTTGCAAGTATTATGTGTAATGTTTTCCTAAACTGCGCTACAGAAATCAGAGCTATTACTTTTACTGCTGCATGCAAATTGAAACCATTAAGTAGCTCATATAGAAAATTTCCTCTCTGTACTTCCTAAACTTGGGATCTCTTTTTATAAGGATAATTGTCAAAAGCAAGAAATAATATATTTACAGTGACAGGTAAAGCATGTCAACAGAAAGCAAAAGCAGTGCTGTGACTTTAAAACACTAATTTTCTCATGAATGTACTGTTCATCTTTGTATACACAGAGATGGTGTTCATCATACCAGGCAATCCATCCTGTAAAATGACAATTACATAGATTTATAGAAAATAACCTGTGCAACATGCAAAGTCCTGCTGGATGCACCATGCACTTCTGAGCCCTGCCTGGCATTAGACAGCAACCTTCTCTGTGAAATACATTTAGACCCTTACACTGCAAGAACAGCTTGGTAATACCTGTGTGAATACTTTAATATTAGTAGCAGATATTTAGTGGCCAAGTGATTAAGAAATTAGCTAGTTTTCACTGTAAAAGGTTGATTACCAGTGTAATAAGGACTGAAGACCTTGTTCTGGGAAACATCATCTGTCTGAGCTCTTATCCATTCACTGAAAAGTATCGATTCTTGATTCTGAAAGTCAACAGGCAGCTTAGCTTGTTCTTAATCTAACTATAGCTTAATAGTATATGATATTAAAAATCTTCACATATTCCTACCTATACGCTATATGTTTTCATTCCTGTTTGCATTGCTTCGCATTTGGCTGACTTACAGTCCACCTTTTTATAATGCAATAATCCAGCAAAGTCAAACAGATCATCTGTATCAGTGGGATATTCTCAGTATTTGTAGCCCTACTAGTCCCCGTTAAACGTACAAAGTTTACCTACTTAGGACCACTATTTTGAGAAAAAGTGAAGCACTCTTGAGCCTTAAAATAACAGAACTATGGAATTGTTTAGGTTGGAAAAGATCCTTCAGATCAAGTCCAATCGTTAATGCATCAATGCCAAGTCCACCATTAAACCAAGTCACCAAGCGCCACATTTTCCAGGTCCAAGGATGGTGACTCTGACACTTCCCTGAGCAGCCTGTTCCAAGCTTGGCAGTGAAGAAATTTTTCCTAATATCCAATCTAATCTTTTCCTGGCACAACTTGAAGCTGTTTTCTTTTGTCCTATCACTTTTTACTTGGAAGAAGTGATGGACTCTTACCCCAGATCATCATCATCATGGCCAGTCTTCACAAACAAAGATCCAGGAAAGGTCTCCACCCACATTTGTTACAAGCGCGCTGGAGATACAGGGCTTTGCAAATGTGGGTAAGGCCTTCGAGCCTGCGCAGTGGATTTTTTAGGTGAGACACAGTGTGCACTGAACTGAACCTACCCTTTAATCCTGAGGTTCATCTGCCGGGGCCGAGCGAGCTCGGACAGTGGCAGCGAGGTCCTCAGGACGTAGGTTTGTTTAGAGTGACCTTCTCTTAGATGGATGGCCTTACAGGGCTGACGAGCTCCATCTGCACGGGGGAGTTCCCTGACCGGGAATCGAACCCGGGCCGCGGTGGTGAGAGCGCTGCATCCTAACCACTAGACCACCAGGGGGCCCCTTACCCCAGACAGTGTCTGGTCACTGACCCGACCCCATTTATAACAGCAAATTACTGTCTGAGATTGGCTTGACAAGCTGCTTGACTTGCTTACTTTTGTAATATTCATAAACTGACCATAGGCAGGGCAAATAAAAGTTTTAAATCCTAGAATTTGAAGGAAGTTATCTCAATAAAAATATCAGCCATTTCTAGATTTTAGGGAA